GCTCCCTGCTCTGGTCCCATGGTCCGTCCCCTCCCCTGACAGATTCACTCCCAGGGGAAGGGCTCAGACCCAGTGGGGTCATGACTGGTCCCCAGGACTCTCCGACCTGGCTGCAGGCTCTCACTCGGGGGGTGATTCACAGGGCAGAAGATGGGGTTTTAGCTCCAGGGCCATACACAGCTGATCCCACCAGGGCTCCATCCTCCTCTGACCTCTGTGCAGTGACACCTGGGATCCACCCTGCAACTGAGCCAGAGGGATCCGAACTGCCCTCTGAAAACTGGGGTGAGGATGGAGGGCACATCTGCTGTGTGTGTGGTGGTTGTGGGGTGCTCAGAGAGTTCCCCCCTCCCTGGAAATAAATACCACTCCTGTTGCATAGATGGGGAAACTGAGGCACGGGTACACACATCATGCAGTGAACCAGTGGCACAGTTTGGAGTGGAACCCCAAGAGCTAATTCTCTGGGGCACTCCTCATAGGTGCAGGGCTGCCTCCTGCATGGCAGGGATGGGGTACTGCACAGCTCTGCTTGAGAAGCAGCATCCCTACATGTCCCCCAGGTCCAGTGAGCTCCCAGGGGAGTGTCAGCCACCCCCAGCCTGCAGTACCCAGTCTCTTGCCTTTTACATAAATCTCTGGAGGCCCCTATTTCCTAGCACCACTGGGGCATGGCAGATGCTGTGGGTGGATCAGTCTGGGTGCCCCTCCCCTCGGCGTGCGTGGAAGGTGCATGGCAGTGGCTGACAGCAGGGTGGTGCATCTGGCACACTGGGGATTGCAGTGCTGTAGTCTGGCAGAGCAGCACTGGGAGCTGGCGAGAGGGGAGTTGATCTAAATGAGCTGGTGGCATCTGACTGCAACAGCTGCCAGTGACCTTGCACTGACATTGGGCTGGAGCTTGGTGGGAGGTACCCATAGCCAAGCAGCAGGTGGAGGGACCATGGGTTCCTTCTTAGAGGCAGCATAGATCAGGGCTGCTACCCACCCACCCCCAGCCCCACTGTTCTAGGCTGGGTCCCATGCTTCACATTCTTGCAAGCCCTCCTCATAGCAACATGCTAGGTCCCAGCAGCCAGTGTGTGGGAAAGCCCAGAGCTGCTGTAGGCTGAAGAATCACCCACCTCTCCCCTCCCCGTCCCTGCTACCAACCCTGGGCCTGGGGTAGCAGTTCAAACCACTCCCTTGTGACACAGGGCATGCTATCAGATCCTCAGAGACTGGAGCACCATGGTCTAGTGGTTAAAGCATAGGAATAGCAGCCACCACTGCTAGATTCTAGCCCTGGCTTTTCTACTGCCTCAGTTTCCTCATCTGTAATCCAGGAAGAATTCTTGTGCCTCCTTGCAAAGCCAAGTGAGTGATGGCAGACAGGCACTGGGGTCAGGGTGGCACCAACCCATCTCCTGAGGGGGCTGACCCTAGTGTGCATGACCCCCTTAGATGGGAGGCACCAGCATTTCCCAGCTGTAGGTGAGGCTAGCAGTCTTTTCCACCCCTCATTCCTCCTATTCTACAGAGCTCATCACAAACCAGAGCAGGCACCAGCTCCTTCCCCCACCCCCAGCATAGCTTTTCAGGCCAGGACATCTCCGTATAGGAATCCCTCCTGCCAGAGGGCTCTGGGACTACCCTCTGCCCCACAGCAGCAGGATCTGGCCCAGGAGAGGTCCCCACACAGCAATCTGCCACTGGCTGTCAGGGTTTGCTTTATAGAGGCCTCTGGGCCCCTGGCTGTGGTCTGCACACCTGCTGAAGAGAAAGGCGTTGCTTGGATTGTGCCTTTTAGTTTCCACACAGCAGTCTGGGGTGCCTGAAAATACTGTGCTGGACCCTGGGGAAATGCCACCCAATTCACTGAGGACGAGGTACATGGGTCTGAGATCCACCAGGCTGTGGCCCCAGCTGGCCCTGTTGGGGCAGGTGGAGAGCTCCTCAGCAGCAGGAGTCAGAACGGTGCCTGCTGCAGGGAATTTGGTCTTATTGGCAGATGGGCTCCATAAGACAAGGCTGGAGCTAGTGCCACGTCGCAGCAAGCTGGGGGGAACATGGAAGCGACAGACTGGGTTTCTGTGGAGATGCCACACCTGGGAGACAGATGAACCCCATCCATGGCAGAGCAGCACAGAGCACCCTCTGCATCTGTGAACAAGGGAACAGCATCTAACACAAATCTTCCTCCTCACCCATCGCAGCCTGGAGAGCCACACCTGCAGGATTCAGCCGGTCACTTTGTTATTAACAGAACAGAAGGAGATACAGGCCTGGGAAAGCACCCAGGGGCTCGCTCAGAATCCTTGCCTCCGTTATCTTCCACACTTATGTTTCCTGCTAATTTATGCTGCCCCCATAACATGGGGAGTATGTCAATTAATGTAATGCTCTAATTACAGACTGCAAACTGCAAGGCAGGAGACACCGGGGATCAGGTTGAACACAAGGGCTCTGTGTGCCAGGCCAACCCCTGTCAGGCAATTAAAAGGGCTAAGCAGCACAGCTGGGTCTTAAACTGACAGGGACAGGCATGCAGGTGAGCACTATTACTCATGCACCCCTGTGGAGATGAAGCCCTGGATCACCTCAGGCTAACTTGAGGCTGGTCTAGGCCAGAGCTGCCCCCCAGAGCAAAGGTGGCATGTGCACCCTTTCCCCCACAACTCCAACTAGTCTACTGAACCCAGCACATACCCAAGCCATGTAGCAGGCTCCCAGCATGCCCTGTTGCGGTTACCTGTGACCCCTAAAGTGGCTGGGGTCCCACTATGGCAAGAACACCCCCTCCTCTGTCCTTCTATGCAATTGCAGCACAGAGGTCCTTGTGCCAACAGCCCCTACCCTGGTCTAAAAGGGGGGGGGGGGGGAGAGAGAGCATGGCCTTGTAACTTCTTTCCTTTGGGTTGTCCACCCTGACCCTTCCAGGGGAGGGGTGGTTGGGCCAGTGGAGAAGCTGGGATGTCAAGTCCAGCATCTGTCCTAGAGTGAGGATGGTCTGGGGAGGTGGGCTAGCTAGGCACAGTGGGTTCACTAGGTCACAGCACCAGGAGGGCTAGTGTTCCCAAAGTAACCATGCAACATGGGTGCTGCTGGATTCAGAGAAGTTCCAGGCAGCAACAGCACTAGAAGGGATTGGGCACTCACTCAGGCCCTACGCAGCTCCACTTAGGCACCCACAATGCAGAGGTCCATCACAGGGGACAGCATGCTATTCTAGAACAGGTTCAGTGAGAGTTTCCATCCTAGCCCCAAGCAGGGGAGTTCAAAGGAAGTGTCAGGGACTCCACCCTCTTGCACAAAGCCCTCCAGCCGCTTCCTCTTTCCACACTAGTTCCCTCTTCCCCTGCACCAAGCTCTGTTCTGCTTCTCTCACCTCTTCCCTTGGTGCTGTCTCCCTTCTTCCAGCACCCATCCCCCCCAAGGGTAAAGCTCAGCTTTATGCCCTCTCTCTTTTCTAGATGTAGGAGTAGCAGGTTGGGCCAGTGGACAGAGCACAGCTAGGGATTCTGCAGGCTCAGGCAAACCACTTCCATTTTCTGCACCTTCATTTCACCCCCTATGAAAGGGGCTAGGACAAGCCTTGGCCAAGTGCTTGGAGATCTATTGCTAAGAGCTAGGGATTATTAAAGAGCAGCAGAGAGGGAAGAGGGTTTGTGGTAGTCTAACACAAGCACAGGTAGGCTGCTGGAGGATGCTTTGGATTAGGAGGTCCCCAAAACTGCAAGAAGCAAGTGAGGGAGTGTTACAAGCCACTTCCTTAACCCCTCCCCCACTACCTACTGAACCCAACCACTTGAGGAACAGTTCTGGGGCAGCGCTATCTGTGACATGGCAGCATCAGCCCTGCCTGGTAGAGCACTGCTGTAAACAGGGGGCAGCTACCTGGGAATGGACAGGGGAAACCAACCCTCAACCCTACAATGACAGGCTGAGAAAGTTGCCACTCTGTCCTGTGCCATATACCCCCCCACAAATCTGTGCTTTCGTACTCCAGTGAAACAGGAGGGAGAGTTGAGAACAGAAGGGCCAAGCCCACCTCTATACGCTGGGAGCAGCGGCAGTCTCTCCGTGTAGGGCACCTTCAAATTATTCCTCCACTCCTTCTGCTAGGCCAGACAGCCATTGGGCTGGAGGGCTTGTGCCACAACAGGCTAGGGCTGCAGAATGCCACTAGCTCGCTCCAGCTCTGGCACTGGTTTCCTGGGTGAATGTGGATCATTAAAATGGAGACAACACAGATCTCCTTTGGGAGGTACTGATGGAAAGTGCTAAGTAACTCCTTCCTTCCAAACCCCTTCTCAGTGGCCCACTGTTTGAATGCTATGCTGCCTTCTGCCACTATAGCAGTAGCAAAGTGAGACTGTTCTAACAGTATGGTTCAGCCTGGCTCCAAAGCAAGTCTATGGCTATACTTCCTGCTGCAGGGAGGAACATTCCCACTCTAGCTCGGGTGTATTTGCTATGACAGCATCACCTAGGATTGCCCTGACCTAGGTGCACTACATGAACATTCAGGTTGTGTTTTAATCCCAAACTGACAGGCAGACTGAGTACTGGATTAGAGGGTGTGCCAAAATCAGGGGTCGGCTTAAACTGAGCCTGTGTCTGCTCTGAGAAGCTGCTTTAACAGTACATCCGCTGAGAAAATGAGAGGTTGGACACAGCAACACAGCTGCTCTACTAGTAGCAAAGGGCCGTTTCTAATGACTGGGGTTAGGCACCTACTGCTTTCCTGAGGCAAAGTGAGAGTGGAGTTTAGACTGCACTGGATTCTCCCCTTATCCCAACTTAAGAAGCAGGAAAGATGAGCTCATTTCTCCTGGCTTACTAGATCAGGGAGGGTCTGGGTTAATCAGGTACCTCACTCAAATCCTGCCAGCTGCTGTAGCTTTGGAAGGGGGTCATGTTCCTTCAGCTGTAGCTAGTCATGCTGAGATCATGGGACGGATCACACTGCTTGTGGAATTAGCATGTTAACACTGCTGGATGGAAAATCCCAAAGAAGATTTTTTTTTTAAAAAAATGAAGCTTTTATTCAGTTAGAGGTAGCAATGGGGAGCAGAGTCTTGTAGTGTCAGGGTCACTGGAGACAGCTAGGTTCTTGGCCAGTAGGGGGAGGGAGCAGTGAATGATCTCAACATTTAAATCAACTGGGTTAAGATTTTAGCACATCCTAGATTCAAAACAAAAAACTCCCCCCTAGAGCTCAGGTGCATTTGCACAAAATGAAACCACACAAGACCAGAGCATCATGGTACTGCAGGAGGCAAAGCTGGACATACTACAACCTGCTTCTAGCAAGAACCACTGCCATCTTTCACAGCTCTTGGGGCAGTGGTACCATGTGAGCTGCAGAAGGGTGTGTGTGGGGAAATGGTGTGTAATAGGTATTGCTCCACAAGGAGTTAGCAAATAGGTATGTTTAGTTTAAAAGTTTATTTAAAAAAAATAAGTGGGGCCTCTGGGTATAGTGCCCATTACTGCTACCCTAGAGCAAACATGGCAGTGGAACAGTCACCCCTCCAAGCTAATCACACCAGACTTTACTGTGCCTGCCAGTTCTAAGATTTAGTGCCAAGGAAAAACAAATTTAAAAAAGGATGCTACTTCAGTGACAAACATAATTGAAGGTAAGCTTGATACAAAAGAAAATACAGAAATATGTACAGTAAGGTCCATTTCCTGTTCAGGCTGTGAATTAATGAGATCAGTCAGGGGCACTGGTTATTTTGCAGCTAATTTAGAGATGAGTCATTCAGCATGAAAGCAGTTACAGCATAAATGCAATATTCCCATCTCCTCCCCAGGCAAGTCACCCTAGCACTGTTCCAGTTGCTCAGAGCAGCAAGATATGATGGATTTCACCCAAGCCGGTCTCACACTCCCAGGATGGCATACTTGAACAGTGCCATGATAGCTGCACTGATGAGGCCAGAAATCGGGACAGTGACAAACCATGCCAGGAAGATGTTACGGAAGAGACGCCAGTCCACAGCCTTCCTGGAACGGAGCCAGCCCACTGACACCACGGAGCCCACCTATGGAAGATACACCAAGGGACTGATTTAAAGACTAGGAGACCACTATGGTCTCATCTCCTGCACAGCAGGCCAGAGACCACCACCACCTAGTGCTTCCAGCATCAAGCCCAACAGCTTCTGGTCAGCTAGAGTATCTTTTAGCAAGACACTGCAATTTTTAGAGACTGAGCAGCAGATACAGGGAAGCAGCTTGTGCACCCTACCCAAATCCCAGCTGCCTAGGGTGGCAGCTCATGCATGCAGTTCCACCCCCTACCTGCCTGTGCGCACACGCACCAGGCCTGAAGTCTCTGCAATGGGGCCAGGACCCCTGTGCTGCACAGCTGCCACGCTGATTCCCAGTGAAGCCACAGGGATGAGTTCTCCAAAGCTGTGCAGTTCCTATGGCAGCTGGGTAATGGGGGCCCAGCCTCCTCCCACCCACCCTGCACCAAGGCACTCTAGGGTTAGGTAGGAACCCCAGGGAGTAAGATTGGACTACCTTCAGCTTCCAGATACTGATCTTATTCTGCCTTTGTCTGCTAGAAGCATGCCCCTAGCTCTCAAACTTCACCTCAACCTTCTCTAAATTGAGATTGAGCTTGCTCACTATAAGGCAAGTTTTCTAGACTTCAGGGTCACTTTTAGGTCTTTAGGTACCCTTCCCAACCTGTCAGCATCCCAACAGGTTGCCCCTCTGCAGGCAAACTCAGTTTCCAATATGGCAGGGGTGGCCAACCTGTGGCTCCTTATATAGGAACCGACTCTGGGGCTGGAGCTACAGGCACCAACTTTCCAGTGTGCCAGGGGGTGCTCACTGCTCAACCCCTGGCTCTGCCCCCATTTCATCCCTTCCCATGCCCTCCCCTGAGCCTGCTGTGCCCTTGCTCCTCCTCCCAGCCCCCAGAGCCTCCTTCACCCCATGAAACAGCTGATCTGGAGGTGTGGAGAGGGAGAAGGAGGCACTGGGAGCGGGGTGGGAGCTAATGGGGCTGCTGACTTATTACTGTGGCTCTTTGGGAATGTATAGTAGTAAATTCTGGCTCCTTCTCTAGCTCAGGTTGGCCACCCCTGCAATATAAATATGGCCTTACTAAGGAGAGCAGCACTGAATAGGTTCAGATACAAGACAAGCCTGAATCCAATGAGAACTGCCCAAAGAAAACCTGAGTCATGTTGAAATGTGGGCCAAGTGCCTTGTTCATGTTTTGGAGGGCAATCTCCCTGCTGGAACTGTAGTGCACAGCCAGAACAGCATGGGGCCAGGCAGCAAGGGACCAGCAGAGAAGAATTTCACAATGAGATTACAGGCATCTTTGATGCACAAGTGCAAGTCTTACAGGAATGAAGCTTCCCATGACGTGAGTGGCCCAGGGAGCTTGGCAGCTTCATAATGGGTCTGTTTGACACTTTTTTGTTCTACCACAGTAGAGTTCCTAAGTACTTTTCCTCAATGCTCATTCTCTTTAGTTTCTCCCTCCACCACTTCTATGTTTACTCTATGTTCATTATCCACAAATGGATAGATCTGCATGCAAATTATAGACCTGTCAAACTCAAGACCAATGCTTGGTGTATTCTAGAAGCTATTCTACTAGAACGCAATCTCAGATCTGGTTAGTAGTGAAGAGGGGAAAAAGAATTAGTACTTTGAGACAACTGGATTCTCACAGTACACCAGACCATCACTTCTGGTCCCATGCCCTACACCACTAACTCCACTTCTTGAGACATTTCTTGAAGAACTCGGAGGTCACCACAGGAGCCATTTAACATACTGGCAAGCATTTCACTTACTTTGCAGTGCGTTGTACTGATGGGAAGACCAACATTTGATGCAATCACCACAGTCAGTGCAGATGCCAGTTCAATGCTGAAGCCACTGTGTATACAGAAAGATAGTAACTATCACAGGCTGGTATGAGCCACACAATGTCAGCAAGGGATTCTTGCTCAGCAGACAGCCTGTGCAAATGGCAAGTACAGAACTTTGTCTTACAGCTCCTGTTCTATGCATGGTTCCAGGTCTCCCTCATTAACCAGTTTGTTAAGGCATTTGATTTTGTACTCTTCTGCTTTATATGGAGAGTGCATCTGGGGCCTCTTGACAGCTCCTAGCTGGAGGCCATAATCAAGGCTAGAGACCTTTAATCCAGGGCTTTGGAGCTGTGCTCCGGCTCCACTGCTCTGGAGCTGCTCCAGGCTCCAGCTCTGGGCTCTGCTCTAATCAGAGCTTCATTTTTCCTTCCATTTCTAGTGGATACATACATCTCTGGGGGAAGTTTAGAAAAAAGCCAATCATCCATAACTCAATGGCACCACCCTTTACACAATGGAAACTGAGCAGATTTCACACTGCCACTCCCTGAGCTCAGTAGTTATTTGCATTCAAAGCAAATGCCTTGAGGAACTGATCTGTAATGCCCTGATATGATCTGGGACCTGGATATCAGAGATCAGTCCCTTTTGGGACAGCCAACTGGAGATGGTGGCAGGGAATTCAGTGGATGATCTTTGTGGTCCATTTCCCCACCCCCCCCAGAGGGTGGAGCTATAAGGCACAGTGGAAGGTCCAGCTCTTCTGACTTTTGACCAAGAGAGGGGTGTGTGTTTAGTACAAGCACCTGATCCCATGCAGTGGCCATGGCCAACTGTTCAAATGTACATATTGGAACCATACTAATGGAAACAACAATGAGGGGTGATATTTGTGCAGTTGTGGTGCGTTACCTTCAGAAAGACATCTTGAATATCAAAGCTATTGTACCTCAGAGCACTAGGAAGTTTGGAATGTGAGCAAACAAGTTGGAAAGAATTCATGAACACTTCAGTAGGCCGCAGACTCTGCATTGTATAATTACATGCTCACCCAGCCTCTGAGTAATACTGTTATGTACACAATGGTGAGTGCAGAAACACCATAAGCATCCTCCTGTGTCCCCCATGAAGCATCTTACCTAGATGGTGTGATGGGTGTCAGATCCTTCCCCATGGTCTGAATGACTCTTCTCCCCCAGACCCACAGGCCAATGCAGATCCCAGCACCTCCATACAGCAGCAGCCAGATGGGAGTTGCCACTTTGGAAGCCACATCACCTGTCTGATAGACTAGGTACAGAGCCACCAGAGGGCCAATGGCATTGCTGGAAGGAAACAGATGCATTCCACTCAGACAATTAAGGAATCTTTCCATGCTGCTGGCTTGAGAAGTGATAAACCCCAATCTTGTTATAAACCATAACTTGCTACATTTTCTGGATGACCAGGTTAGTGCTGGCAAATACTTGCTCACAAGAGCCTGTTTTCATACCAGCATGCTAGGCATACATGCTCCAGAGAAGCAGGTGAATATATTGCATGAACATTTGTACTTAGAGTAACCAGCTAAAACCTGTCACATAGATTAAGTCTACTGACCTGACATCATTGCCACCATGAGCAAAGGAACCAAAGCAGGCGGTGAGAATCTGCAGGAACTGGAAGAGCAGGGACACTTCTGGTCTATCCTGATCATGCCACTCCTCCAGCGAGCCAGTGCTGCACTTCCTGTCACCACTGCCCATCTCCACCTTGCCTACATCCATATCCACCTCAGCTGCCGGGTGGGTATCCGCCACAGCATTGCAGTAGCTCGTGTAGCTGTCCATACGGATCCTCTTCTTGGTGTCTGCTCCAGGCCAGGTCAGCTTCTCCATCTCCTCCCCCTTGGGCTCGCCCTCTTTGGGACGGAATGAATCCAGCGGCATGCCACAAATGGCCATGGTGTAGGAGGTGTAGCTGTTGTTGCGTCTCAGGGGCTTGTCGCCAGAGTCCCCCATGCAGTCACCCACTTTGGCCAGGTGAAGCTTGTGCAGCAGCTCTTTGTACAGGCCCGAATCCTTGTGCACCGTGTGGTAGTGGCCACTGTAACGGATCTGATTGCTGACAGCTTGGCTGAACTGATCCAGGTTGCCACTGGGTAACTGCACAGCTCCTGCAAACAGAAGTGGAGTTCAACCCACATCCACATGGCCAGGTGTGAGAAACATGCCTCAGACAGGAGCCCAACCAAAAGCACTACAGACCTCATGCTTGTGCCACTCTGCCCTGATCTATTTGCTGGTGGAATATGCCTCCACATGGCATGCTTAAGGGTCTCCCACTTCATCTGGACTTGCCAGGGCCATCTGGCAGGCAGGGCAGGCTGCTAACCCCAACTCACCACTATCAATGTTTGTTTCCTTCAGGTCAACACTAGGGAGCCTCTCCTGCTCTGGAGCTTCCTCCACATCTCCCAGATTGAAGGAGACTGTTCTCTCCTCCACAGCTGCCCTGTGGTGCATGGCAGATGCATCAGTGATAGGGCTCTTGTCACCCACACCATTGCCCAGTGGCAGCTTAGACTCATCTTGATCTTCCTTCTGGCTGTTCTTTTTCTCCATCAAGGGGCTCTCAGAAGGACTTGACTTGATCTCTCCTGTGGAAAGAATTAATGACTTAGTAGTTCCCTTTCCCAAAGGCTACCACCGTTTAAAGCCCATTCAGCCCTTTAGCACCTGATACCAGCCTACTCTGCATCCACTGAGAACTGAGCAATGTTGGCATCTGTCAGAACCCAGATTTATGCATGCTGGATTTCAGTTTACAGCTCAAGTTAGTAACCAAGTAACTACTCATATGCTTATATGTGTTACACAACATGCTGTGCATGGGACATCCAGATCCCCAGACAGAACTCACTAGTCTGAACTGTGCTCTTTTGCCATTTCAAACCCCCTCTTGGCACCCAGCATAGGTGTGGTTAGAACTGGCAGAGTGACTAATGGCATAGCAGGGTTCTGCATTTGTTACAACCACTGACTGGTTCTTCAGTCTACACTGAAAATAGTGGTGGGCCACCAGGAATTAACTGACTGGACAGATGGTGCCAATTCTTTGCTTCCAGTTTAGTGTTAGGAAAAGCTGAAGATACATTCCCAGTATTGCACAAGCAGCAGCACAGGGAAGTTACATGGTTGAGAGCTGGCCCATGATATGGCCAAGATATGTACCACATTACAATGGTGCAAGAAAGCTTATTTTGATTACAAGTGAAGATTTTTAAAATATAGTGACAGAGCCACTCTTCTTGGGAGCAGTGTTAAGCAGCAAATCCTCACCAGGGTATCATTAGTGAAGTGCTGCAATTTGCACCTTGTGATGCAAGAGCCACAGGGTTATACAGGTGACTCATCTGTGCCTTTTGCAGCATCAAAGCATGTGACAATACAGAGACTGCACTGGGCAGGAAGGTACCTTTTCACATGGTGATGAGCCATGACAACACTAGGGTTTCACTACAAGGAGTTTGGAAAAATGCACCAAACTTGACTTTAAAGTTTATACAACTTTAACATCTAGAGTAGAGGCAGGCAAAAAAATTCAGCAAACAAGAAGTCTGCTAAAAAAGTAATGGGGAAAGTTAATGTTGTAGCTGTGTTGGTCTAAGATATTAGAGACAAGGTGGGTGAGGTATTTTTTATTGGACCAACTTCTGTTGGTGAAAGGAAGGTTTCAAACTTACACAGAGCTTGTCTCAGCTCTGTGTAAGCTTGAAACCTGGTCTCTCACCAACAGAAGTTGGTCCAATAAAACAGTGCTTCTCAGCAACCCATCTGTGGGCCAATGCTGGTCCCTGAAATCTCCCTGATAGTTTTAGGAAGGCAGCAAGCTGGTCACTGGTATCAAAAAGGTTGAGAAACACTGCAATAAGATTACCTCATCCACCTTCTCTCTCAAGTTGAAATGGCTCATTTTGGCCATTGCAAAACAAAGTGTTTCATGTCATAATTCTAAATGTTTTGACTTTCAAAATGGTGATTTGTTTTGAAATTTTGCTATGAAAACCAAAGTGAAATCACCTAAACAACCAAAACCAAGACAATTTATCTGGGCCAAACAAAACCCCATAAAAAAGGTTCTGTTTGGCCCCCCAAACCAAAAGATTTATTGTTCACTCAGCTCTAATCTAGAGCCTTGATGGTGGGACTTTAGCTTTCCAACATGAAAGAAACACTACTAGTTAGGGTAGAACTGGGATTCTGGAGTGATCCTGCCTCTGAGTGCATGACCTAGGCCTAAATTCACTTTTGGCTGCCTAAGCAAGCACCTAAATACAAGCTGCATTTTCCAGAGGATCTGAACATAGCTCTCCAAGGAGTCTCAAAGGAGCTGTGGGTTCTCAGTTCTCTGAAAAAGCATGGCCTGTTATTTAAAGAGCCTAACCAGGCCCACAGGACTGTCCTGCCTGGCTCCATAGCTCCCAGCCAGAGAGACTAGCCCCTGGCCCCTCCCCCACAGCCACATGGGCAGCACAGCTTGTGCCTGCCTCCCAGGCTTTCCAATAAGCCTGTTCTGCTGCTCTGAGCAGCATGGTAAGGGGGTGGGGGGGTCAGGGGACAAGGAATGGGGGGATTGGATGGGACAGGGGGTCCTGGGGGCCTGTCAGGGGAGGGTGGGGTTGGATAGGGAGTGGGGTCCTGGGGGCGGTTAGGGGGTGGGGAGTCCCAGGCTGTTTGCAGAGGCACAGCCTTCCCTACCATTTTGCAACCCCGATGTGGCCCTCAGGCCACACACACAAAAAGAAAGTTTGCCCACCCCTGGCCTAACCAGATGCCAGGTCTGAAAATTGGCTAACATCTGCCTGTTTCCCCAGGCCATAAAATGGAAAAAACTTCTACCTTACAGGAGGGAGGGCAAAGCTAACAAATGCTTGAAATCTTCAGAGCAAGAAGACTAGCAGTCAATTAAAAGCTTCCCAATCTGTACTATATTAAAGCAGAGAATGGATTTCAGAGCTCATTAGCTTACTACAAGCACTTGGTCAGAACTTTTTAGTATCTGACCTGATCAGCCAGACTTAATAGCATGAAACCTCTGTAGTTCTAGTGCTGATGCAGTGCTAAGTGGGGCTGCTCACACTACTGCAGTATGTGTCACTGGGGTTGTTTAGGAATAGGCTACACTGAAACCAACAGCTGCAAACAGATTTGCCAAGTCACACTAGTGATAGGGAAAATTTGAATTACTGTCAAGAGTATGAAGCTCCTTTAACAGTTGGAAGGATGAGCTATCTCTAGACAAATTTCAAAGGCAACCAGAAAGTATCTACCAAGCTGTTAGTCATGTACCACTTATGCAAACCTGACAAGCGTACTTGTGAATAGCTATTTTCTCTTACCTACTGCTTAGGATGCCTCTCCCAAGTCTCACGAGTAATTTATAGGTGAAACAGTGCTCAACTCTATGAGCCCCACAGAACATTAGGAAAGTAAAGCTGCAGAATGCTATTTGAGTGCCTTTCAACAGGTATTCTTTGCTACAGGGCAGGGATTTTATGAGATCACCTACTTAAAACTAATCTGCATCAGCAAGGTCAGATTGCTCACTGGGGGTGAGAATTGTAAGACACTTCTTCCCCTCCCCGCAAGATGAACCAAAACAGGATATTTAAGTAACTCATTAAGGAGAGCATGCGATTTTATGTCATTCTAAAGCTTTACTTACGTTCTATTTTCTTCTTCATTCTTGGACACACAAAGAACCAGACGACGAGAGCACAGACAACAGCACTCCCCGCTGAAGTTAGAAGGATACCCCAAATAGGAAGTTTGTCAAAGCCAAGCACTAGGAAATAAAACAATGAATCTTGAAAACCCAAGGGCAAGAGCCCCTTCAATGTAGGACCACCTTCACAGGAGATCTGTTCATAATTGGATCAAGGGGTGCTTGGCACACGACATTCACTGCTGCCTCCCAGGAGTCTGCAGTGCCCTGCACCAGCTTTGCTATGTTAGCACCAAATCTGAGTAGAATACTAACCATACAAAAATGAGAGCTTAACCCACATGGGAGCCCCCACCAGGTTACACTCTCCCCATCTAATCTTTCACATGTTCAGAGACTGACCTCTTCCCCTCCCCAGGGAAAACTGGATTACTGAGAGCATTGTATATTCTGGTGACCCAGCAGCAACTGACTAGGCATTCTCCATCCTCCCCTCAGTTTAGTTGTCAACATAGTACACAGAGGCTTATGTCCTGACTTGCTGCAATGTCAAAGAAAAAAGCAAGCCTGCAGCTGCAGCAGACAGCGCTATTCCCCTGGCATGCCAGTCTGCTCAGAGCCAGGGGAGAAGAGCTGTACCCACTTGAGATCTCCAACAGATTTACAGTAACATGGCATTTTAGGTTTGTGATGGGATAGGACTTTTCCAGCCACATGGTGCAACAATGGCTTCTGCATCTCACTCCAGAACACTTATTTTTAAATTAGAACCAAATCTACATCTTTTTAAACAGGAGAGGCTTTAAGGTGTTAATGACCTAGTTACACAAGCATTTACAAATGAGTGGCTGGATTTTTATTTTTCCCATAACCAAGCTAAGGTATCAAATATTTGCTAAATGGCCATCAAAAATGCTTCTGCAGTTTCTGCTGCAGCCAAGAACACTCCAGTACATAGAAGACAGATAAAGGAACTGCAGAGGTCAAGTGCACAATATCACACGCCTATTTTGTATGGCTTAGTTAACATGCAACACTAATAGCAGCTTACAATAAATAGTCTGGCAAACCCCCCCAACTAAAGTGGAACAAAGTTAACTGAACCTTGTCCACAGATTGTAAATTCAACATGAATCTGGCTAGTAAAGTGCAAACTTGTAAACTGAATCACATGGTGCAATGCTGTTTATGCTTTAACTGGTTACAATTCCTACCTCACAGGACAATGCCATATTCACAGGCATATAGAACACTTTGGCTGAACTCTATTAGTCCTGCAACATGTATTAGAATTTCAGGACCATAAAGTGCATTTGAATGAACCAATGTATGAAGGGAAAGCTGGAGTCATTACTTCATAGTGACACACTAAATCTATTTCAGTATTTAGTAGTGAAATAGCCTGAACTGTCCAGTATGACTGAATACCTGCCACTGTCAGCCTCTACCTAGCTCTAGTTCCTTAATGACCTGTTTAAGACATCACAGAAGAAAGCCCCAGCTGAAGCTGCCATCACAGTCCAGGGTAGCAGGCCCTGAATAAGGTAGCTCAGTATCCAGAGTTTTGAAATTGACTGTTAAGTTAGCTGTGACTGATATTTTCTACAGCTTGCCTTGTAACTCTGCAGGTCTCCAGGCCCTTCTGTGCCAAACTACTTTGGATTATGATAGCAGCTGCCTGGTTCCATTCATCAGTTGCGTTCCCCTGCCCGCAACATAAACATTTTGATCTGGAGCTCCCAAAAGATTTCAACTCTGTAGCATGAGTTCCTCTTCGGAGTACTTGTGCTGGCTAGGACATGCCAGTTCTTCTTGGTCAGGAAGTATCAGGGCAGTTAATATATTCTTGGGGATGAAAAGCAAGCAAGCTCTCATGCTGGAAAGGCCAAACTGAGCAAATCCAATACAAGACTCCAGTGCTGACTAGCCTTACTGGAGAATAGAAAAAGCTTAAGGAGACTCTTCAGCAGCTGGGTTCCTGAGCTCTAGCATAAGTAGGAGAGAGGAAAGGGGAAGTCATGTTATCGGCCATTCCTGTGAAGATTAAGGAGAAAGCTCTGTAGTAATTTAGATTTGAGCAGGCCTCTTTGGTTGGGTAACTATCTAGGTTAGAACTCAGCACACGCTAGCCTGCAGCCTTCTGTAGCCAGCACAGGCCAGCAGCCTTCTAGGAGATTTCAGCCCTGTAAAGCAAAAAGGGGTAAATCATGCATTTAATGGAGGTTTTTGTAAAGAATTATAAAAGTAGCACTGAAGTATTTTGACATGTACTTACAAGGTGCACCACTGTACATGATGGAAAAGAGGTTGATCCCAATTGTACAGGCATAGAAGACTGGCAAAGCTCGCAACCCATTGGGAACTGGATCTGCCTGTAAAACAGATTAGTTTTGATACTATACAAATCCAGATCCCAGATTCTGAACACAACAGCAAAGCAGACACTTAAAGTACACTTCTACATGGAAGAGTGTCTAAAAATGCTAACTTCTTACAAAGATCTGTTCTGTGCACTTCACAGACTTAAGTTTATTACTTCCCTCCTACTAGCCCAGCAGAGGCAGCTCCAGAAGAGGGGGATGGAGTCTCTTGTGCATCAAACAGAATTGTTTGCTAAATGCCAATTACAGACTAATCCATTACAGTTGTGAAAACTGTCAGTGGGGATGTATAGGAGTCAGCGAGGAGAGAATTGGGTCTGAAGAACCCTTAGAACTCATACATCATGAGTTATGAACCCTGCATATCCAGTGGGTTTTTAGGGTTGCCAGTTAGTGCTCTGCTTACAAGTAAAAAGACTTCTGATATTGAAGACAGAAATGTGCCTCCCCCAACCGCCCATGCCATTGCTGTTTCAAAGCAGAAATGCACACTCCCCAAAACAGCAATGTAGCCTTTTGAACAGCCCATCCCACAGAAAGAGTGGATTGAATCTGATGCTTGAGAACTCTTCACTTAAGAGTATTTTACTTTTAAGTTTTAGACAAAGTAGCCATGTCCCAAGACTTTTGTTTTCTCTGTAAGGCTCTGAATTTTGCCTTCTCAGGGATTCGATAGTCTACCCATCAGAACAAGACTAAGACTGACAGTTTTAACTAACAGCACTTTCTAAAAGTCTTTGCTTCAATTCACTAAAGCAATTTTCTTTTGGAAAAAAGCCCATTTCCCCAGGTGAGTCAGGCCAATTGTTAAAGTCATTTAACTGATTCAGAGGGATTATTCACAAATGCATTCCTATGTATTAAAAGCAACACCTCATCTAGGCAGTGGAATTGTTTGAGACTGCTGACCAGGAGCCAAATTCTAGTGTTCTGATGCTCAAGGTTCAGTGAAATTTAATGTATTGAAAAGCATGTTTGCTCTGTCCTATTACAAAAGCATCTGAACAAGTGTTCAGTAGTGAGTACAACTTTGAAAGGCCAGTTATAAAATATTAATCTGACAGCTGTGCTAAGTTAACTGTCAGGTTGTAAAAACGAACATGGAAGGATAGGGGGAAACCAACAAAATTACTGCATTTTTCAAAGCAGAAACCACAGGAGTTAGATTTGAGATCTGAAGTTACATTTTAAGCTACTCGATAACATCCTCAAAATATACTTGGTAACCCCAGAGCTAATTTTATGTTTTATATTTGTAAACTGTTTACACACGAGTCCTGGACACTAGACTATATATAATTACAGCATCTGTTTGACCAGCAGTTTAGTCTGTACGCTACCAGCATGCTTAGTGTTAATTCATGTTTAGATTACTATCTACTCAGCATGCTGAACAGCAGGAGTATAGAGAGTGGCTTGTGTTAAATCATTCAAACAAGTTTAGTTTCATTCTCCCATTTCCAACTGCTACTTCTGTTCCACTTACTAGAACAGTATTTGTAAAGAGTTCCAAACCAAGGAGCCTCACAACAGAAAGCATTTGTCTGGCTGAGTAGACACGAGCTCCAGACCCAGGAGAGCTTGCTTACGTCAAGAAAATTAGCAAAACTAAATTGCTGTAGTTATTCCATATAACTGCCCATGTGGACACATTCAAGTACCTGGCAGAGATCGATATCAGTCAGTTCTGCTGCTAAGGGCATGTCTTCACTGGCAGTGTTAAAGCACTGCTGCAAACTTTGCTGTGACTACACAAGCCACACTAATACTGGGAGAGAGCTCTCCCAGTGCTCTAGAAAACCACCTCCACAACGGCAATAGCTCCCAGTGCTGGTGCACTGTTTATACTGGCACTTTACAGATGTGAAACTTGCAGTGCTCAGGGGAGTGTTTTTTCACACCCGAGTGACAAAGTTGCAGTGCTGTAAAGTGCCAGTTTAGACAAGCCCTAAATTTCCCTGTGAAGACAACCTGCCAGTTCAGTCATGCATAGAAGCAGAGTTTCCATCACAAGGGCAGAGTTCTCCCAGGCATTTTAATGTTAGGCAGGTCATTCAAGTTATAACTAGCTCTAACTGCACTATAAGGTGGGTAGAAAGTTGGCTAGATTGTCGGGCTCAACGGGTAGTGATCAATGGCTCCATGTCTAGTTGGCAGCCGGTGTCAAGTGGAGTGCCCCAGGGGTCAGTCCTGGGGCCAGTTTTGTTCAGTATCTTCATAAATGATCTGGAGGATGGTGTGGATTGCACTCAGCAAATTTGCGGATGATACTAAACTGGGAGGAGTGGTAGATACGCTGAGGGGAGAGATAGGATACAGAGGGACCTAGACAAATTGGAGGATTGGGCCAAAAGAAATCTGATGAGGTTCAACAAGGACAAGTGCAGACGCCTGCACTTAGGACGGAAGAATCCAATGCACCGCTACAGACTAGGGACCGAGTGGCTAGGCAGCAGTTCTGCAGAAAAGGACCTAGGGGTTACGGTGGACGAGAAGTTGGATATGAGTCAGCAGTGTGCTCTTGTTGCCAAGAAGGCCAATGGCATTTTGGGATGTATAAGTAGGGGCATAGCAAGCAGATTGAGGGACGTGATCATCCCCCTCTATTTGACATTGGTGAGGCCTCATCTGGAGTACTGTGTCCAGTTTTGGGCCCCACACGACAAGAAGGATGTGGATAAATTGGAGAGAGTCCAGCGAAGGGCAACAAAAATGATTAGAGGTCTGGAACACATGACTTATGAGGAGAGGCTGAGCGAACTGGGATTGTTTAGTCTGCGGAAGAGAAGAGTGAGGGGGGATTTGATAGTTGCTTTCAACTACCTGAGAGGTGGTTCCAGAGAGGATGGTTCTAGACTATTCTCAGTGGTGGAAGAGGACAGGACAAGGAGTAATGGTCTCAAGTTGCAGTGGGGGAGGTTTAGGTTGGATATTAGGAAAAACTTTTTCACTAGGAGGGTGGTGAAACACTGGAATGCGTTGCCTAGGGAGGTGATGGAATCTCCTTCCTTAGAAGTTTTGAAGGTCAGGCTTGACAAAGCCCTGGCTGGGATGATTTAATGGGGATGGGTCCTGCTTTTGAGCAGGGGGTTGGACTAGATGACCTCCTGAGGTCCCTTCCAACCCTGATTTTCTATGATTCTAACTGGCACTTCCACACACTTCTCTTTACCACCAATCCTAACAGCTACAACACTGCATAGCATAAGCTTTTTTGGGGGGGAGACAGGACTTGGATAGTCTAAGCAAGAGGTAGACACTATGGTATTAACATGAAATGATTGAGGATAAGGCATTTCAAAACTTATTTGGTCTACTCAGCTAGCCTTCCCTTGGAACTCAGGACATGGCTACACTGGAGACTTCAAAGCGCTGTCAAGGGAGTGCTTTGAAGTGTGAGTGTGGTCTCATGCCAGCACTGGGAGAGAGCTCCTGGTAATCCACCTTCATGAGGGGATTAGCTCTGAGCACAGCTCCCAGCACTCTGAGCTGTTTACACTAGCACTTTAAAGCGCTCTGACTTGCTGCACTCAGGGGGTGATTTCTCACACCCCTGAGCCAGCAAGTTAGAGCGCTATAAAATGTAAGTGTAGCCAAGCCTCTAGGTGCATAAGCCAGTGTCTACAGAATTTGTTTTATTAAAGAGAAGTCTCTAGCCCTTTAGTTGCAGTGATGCTTTCTAGTTTGCAGCCAGAATTAACTCTACTGCTACTAGGTAATAAGCTGCAACACGAAGCCAAAATGACACTAGTCATTTTTTTGCAGCCCACAAGGCAGGGGTGGCCAACCTGTGACTCCGGAGCCACATGCAGCTCTTCAGAAGTTAATATGCAGCTCCTTGTATAGGTGCCAACTCTGGAAAGTTGGTGCCTGTAGCTCCAGCCCCAATGTGCCAGGGGATGCTCATTGCTCAATTTCTGGCTCTGCCACAGGCCCTGCTCCAACTCCACCCCTTCCCCACCCCCTCTGAGCCTGCCATGCCCTCACTCCTCCCTCTTCCCCCCCAGCACACCACAAAACAGCTGATCAGGAGGTGTGGGGAGAAAAGGAGACTAATCTGCAGGGCTGCCCCCTGGCAGTGGGCAGGAGGCACTGGGAGCAGGGTGGAGGGGGAGCTGATGATGTATTACTGTGGCAATGTACATTGGTAAACTCTGGCTCCTTCTCAGGCTGGCCACCCCTGCCACAAGGCACTGGATAGCAGCACAAGTAGCCAGTGTCTTATCAGTTTCATGCTGCTGCAGCTGGGGAAGCTATGCCTTCTTCTGTTCCCCATCTGGCTGAACATGAGATAAGTGTGGAATATTAATCCCTGAACAAGCAGCTTTGGATGGGAGGGCAATCCTGTCGTCAAGCCTCCAGAGTGTTGAGATAACTGCTAGCCAGAGTCAGATATGAAAGATGGAGCACTCAAACAAGGCCTGGAGACACTTTCCAGGTTACTATCCCAGCAACCTCTTCCATGCCCACTGCTGGGGACAGGGCTTCTCAGAACATTGCACTGGATCTCTATGCTCCCTTCCCTGCAAAAAAAGGTTCATATCAGCCTGTGGCAAGTAGGGACCCAGTAATTATGAGGAAGGGCAGCCCAGCAGCTAGGATGCTAGTTCAGGAGATGCGGGGATCAAAACATTAAAGATCATGAATCACTCAGTAATAAGCATTTAAGACAGTCCTGACCAGAAGTGGTTACTCCTATTATCTGCTCATTTCAGTTGCAAAACAGTTTCTGCACAGCAGATGAGCTTTGTGGAGATCTGGCCCCCTTACCTTACGAAGAATGAACATACGGACGAGGAAGAACAGGATAGCAGACATGATGCCAGAAAGCAGGGGAGAGATGAACCAGGACAACACTAGGACAGAAGATAGAGGCAATAAATATCCTGGCTCCTACAAGGTGGCTCTGGGCAGTAAAACCCAGATATACTTTTCATACTAATCCAATGTTGGGGACAAGGCCATAGGTTTATAAATGCCACACTTTGGCATCTGAAAAAGCTAGTGGTTGTATTTTACTTACCAATTTTAAGCAGCTCTGACCACTGGACGCCTTTCTGTCCTTTGGCCACCAGCGAAAAGCCAATTGTTGCTCCAACAATGCAATGGGTACCAGAAATGGGAAGTCTCAAGAATGAAGCTGCTAGCTGCCACACAGCTGACCCTAAAGCAACAAAGTTGTCTGAGTGATTAGTCACCATTGAAATACATGGCAGATTTGGGGACACAAGACACTCCAACAAGATAACTTATCCATGTGTACTTAATCACTTTGCTGCTGCAACTACAACATTACTCACCAAACATAGCGCTGATTGAGCCAGCCATGAGTAGCTCTTGTGTAGAGTTGTACATCTCCACATCAACCAACCCCTTCCGGATGGTCTCACTCACTTTAGCACCCAGCAGAACAGAGCCCACGGTTTCAAAGATAGATGCCAGGATACATGCTTGCCGGAGAGTCACCACACCTGACCCCACTGCGGTTCCGAATGAGTTTGCCACATCATTGGCACCCACAGAAAATGCCAAGACAAAGGCAATGATGAAGCCCAATATCAGCATCCAGAGGAAAGCTACCATGGGACCGGATGCCTTACTTCCTATTGTACTGGTTAGCAGATCCAGAGACGTTGTTGATTCAATTGTGGATTCCATGTTATTAATTTTAGTGGTTTAAAATCAACAGGAATTTGCAACTTTGATACGTAAACAAAATACGAGGTATGAAATAATAAATAATGTTACAAAATTAAATAAACTAAACTAAGATTTTTGGAACCAGCGAGTTACTGCTATACGGTGTGTATGGGAATCTCTTTTCTAAAGTTCCTGTGGCTCTGGAGAATTAGAAGAGCTGAATAAAATTCCATGGTGCAGAAAATAGAGAACACAAGTTCTTCATCCTGAAATGAGAGAGGCAGAACTGAGTCCCCATGGTCCATGGATGCTGGCTAAGTGAGCACAAGGCTACAGCATAGTGAGACTTCCCCCAAAGAGTTAAAGCAAGGCCAAGCTTATAAGCTTACATCTATTTAGCAGCTAGAAGCCACACTGGGTACCCATTAGGAAACTTAGGCTATGGCTACACTGGCACTTTACAGCACTGCAACTTTCTCACTCAGGGGTGTGAAAAAACACCCCCCTGAGCGCAGCAAGTTACAGCGCTAAAAGCGCCAGTGTAAACAGTACCCCTGCACTGGGAGCTGCGCTCTAAGCTAATCCCCTCATCAGGTGGAGTACCAGGAGCTCCCACGGGAGCACTTTGAAGTTTCAAGTGTAGCCATGCCCTAAGTGACTATCTGCTGCTCCATTAGTGCTGTATTCCTGGCCTTCCGCTTATGTTCCACAATGCAGATGGGGGACACAAGATCCCTTGTGATTTCTACCCTCCCACCATCCAAGCTGAATGCCAGCTCCCCCTGCTGGTATGCCTAGAAGAGTACCACCACATTGACAATGCCATCAGGATTTGTAATGGAGCCATATGACCATCAGCTGCTCTCCAGCCTATTGAGAAGAGGATTTAGGCCAGTGATTTTAGAGAGCACTTCACTGGAGTCTAGTTGTGCAACATGGTAAATAAGATGGCAAGAGAGCCACAGCACGTACCAGATCAATTATTTTTCCTTGGGGAGAGATATGGGCTCTGGACATGCTGCCATGTGGAACAGTGCCCTAAAAGCAAGCAGGCTGTAGTAACAGGACCCTACCTTAAATCTATTAGGTCAAACTTAGCCACCATTCCCTACCAGCCTGAAAGGCACACTCCAGGCCAAGTGTTTCCTGAACAGGCTACAAACATTAGCTGCTCTTGCTGGGTTCTAGGAAGGAACTAAAGGACACTCCCCCAGCCTATGGGGAGGATCCACTGGGCCCGGGGACTTAAGTGATTATGAGGGACAACAGAACAAACAAGGACAAGCTGAGGGTCAAAAGTAGGGAACCTGAAGGGGACACCAAGCAGAGAACCCCAGACAACACCCACTGATCCTCAAAGGTGTCAAGGGAGCCAGCAAACACTGCCCAGAGGAACTCTGCCTGGATATGTGAGCAGAGAGGGGACTGGAAATAGGCTCCACAGTCACAGAGAACCCACTCAGCCAACATCTTCTCTCTGGTTTTATATATTGCCACTTTGGGCATCACTAGGAGGCGACTGATGAGGAGGTCCCACGACTTTATGGAGCCACGGATAGGGTGTGCATATGTAAGAAGGTGGGAAAAGAAGTGCAGCCAAAAATGCAAAAGTAAGGCTAGGAGGAAAACATTATCTCCTGGAAGGTAGGCACATCAGGCACCAAGTCTACCAATTTCAGCTCTTTCCACAAAGACTCAGCACAGAGCCCTTTCAACCCTTAAAACCCAGCCAAAACACGGCCTCTACCCAAGCAGTTTTGACCTCAAAAAGAGAGAAGTGCCAGACTCCATGAAGCCCTTAAGGGACTTCAGTACTGCTATTAAATGGCAGGTGTTCAGATACTATAATGTTGGGTGTAACAAAACCCCAAGATCGCTAGCTCTGCCTGCCAGCAAATTAAGTGGGCTGTTGCTATGCTCCAGATACAAGCTGCAGTGGAGCAGGAGTGGAAGTGGCTTCCCTTTGAAGCCCTGCAGCAAGACAATTAACACCACAGCTCACCCTGGCCAGCTAACATGTTAAAACTGCAACTTATCCCATCTACACAAGGATTTTAACATGTTAAAATGGGATAGCTAACAGCACCTCTACCTAGTGTGGACAATCACCAAGATAAGGAAAAGCCCCAGGCAGTCTGCAAATCCTGTACCTGAACAATGACTTGAGTAAGACACATTGGCAGCTCAGCTGAATTCCCCATAGTACCTTGTGTCCTAAGCGGCAGTCTTTTGTGCTTAGCCTGGCTATTGCTGCTGCAGAGATTACTCACTCTCTTGGTGTGTTTGCTGACTGTCCCTACGGTGACAGCCCTGTCTCTGGCTGTCCCTGAAAAGGGCCATCAGAAGAGGGAGCAAACCCTCTCCCTACCCACCAAGAATCAGAGCAGGAAAGACACTGTTCATTAAGATGCTTGCCCTTCCCCAAGAGCATTTGGGGAGGAAGGATCCCACCACATATGTTGCCAGAAGGTCCTACACCTCAGTTATTTCCCCTTCTACCCTAGCTGTGTTGTAGCCATGCTTCACCACAACACTGAGAAGGGGCAGGAGATGAATATCCAGCCAATCTAACATCAGGTTTTCCAATACGACCAGCCCCAGATCTCCTCACACACCATTACCAGCTTTGCTGCAAAGTAGGAAGGGCTGCAGATACTGCTTCCATTCCAACTCGTGGTCAAGGTAACAACTTTCGTCTGAGCAACAGGCCCACTTAAACTCCCTGAAACATTACCAGACTGGAGGAAGGAAAGGCAGAACAATGTGCCTGAAAAGACAAGCCTAAAAGCACGCTCTGGGGAACAACTTCCACTGCATGGAGGCAGAAGATTGGGTTTTCTATGTGGCTGCAGTACCTCAAGTGAACAAGTGGGGGACCAAGCGGGCACTCAGATTGGAAGATGTAACCTCTCAAGAGGAATTGTGCCCACTATCAGCCCCCTGAGGGCATTACAAAGTCCACATTGAGGCATCTAAGTGAGCCTGATCACTTGAGGCACCAAATAGTCACCATGCACCTGGAAATCAGGCTCTGTGGACACTCAGCCCCTCACTGTTTTCGGCACCCATTAAGGCTAAGTCTTCACAGCAAAAAAGGGAGTGTTTTCACTCGAAGTTAGCCATCTTTGGGTTTGTCTACACTTAAAATGCAGCAGCACTTCAGTGAAGACACTACCTACACTGAGGTGCCGGTTACCTGGGCTGTACCCAGAACCCTAACTCCCTGAGGGGCAGCAGCTAGGTTGATGGGCGAACCCACTGACCAGCACTGTCTACACAGGGACTTAAACTGACCGAACAGCTTTACTCAGGGCGGTGGCGTTGCACCAGTCCGGTGTCACAGACTCGACCCGGCCCGAGTGTCAAGACCTCAAGGGAAGGAGACACTTGTTTTTAGGTCAATTGGCTATTCCAAGGTAAGCCCCGGAGGGGGGCACAGGGTGGCCTCAAACTACCGACGGACGATGAAGCGCTACCAGAGCCTTGTCTCAGCACCTCAGTGTAAAACCCGAGCAAACTCAGCGGCCACCCTCCATTTTGCACCGCAGTCAGGCCGGGGAAGGAGCCCTGCCGAGCGAGCCCGCCCCCCGCCGACCCCGGTGAACTCAAACTTCGCCTTGAGCCCTCACCCCCCAGGCACCCGGGGCGGGCAGCCACACGCGGCCCCGAGCCCGGGGCTCAGCCCGGCCAGCGGGCACCCGGTGCCAGCGCCCAGGTGGGCATGCGACGAGCCGAGCGGGCCCGGCTCCCAGGCGCCGCCACACCGCCCGCTCGCCCAGAGCGCGTCTCCGCCCGGCCGCGTCCCGCCAGCCCCGCGGGCTGGGCAGAGCCCGGCGCCCACCACGCGCCCAGACCCCGCGCAGCCGCTTCCCGCGCGGCCCCGCGCGCCGCCGGCCCTTCCCGCGCGGCAGGAAACGGCTGCTCCCGCGCGCGCCGCGCCGCGCCGCGCCTCAGGCGGGCCCGGGGCCGCCGGGCGCACGTGGGGGAGGGGGCGCGGCGCGCAGAGCCCGCTCCTCCTCCTCCCCCCCCTTCCCCTCCCCCTCCCTCCGCCCCGGCCCCCGCCAGCGCCGCGCCACAGCCGGCCCGGCCCTCACCGCGGTGTCGGTCCGCTACGAGGCCGCCACGCCGCCCCGACCAGCCCCCAGCGCACGCAACCTGCCGCCGGCGCCGGGCAGCACTTTATAGCCTGAGCCGGTCCACGTGACCCGCCGGACCCGCCCACCCGCTCGAGCACGCATCCGGCGCCTGACGCAGGCGGAGCGCGGCCCCCTTCCTCGCTGCCGCGCGGCCATTGGCCACCCCCGGGTCGCGGCCACGCCTCCCGCTGGTGGGCGCGGTCCCGTTCCAGTCGATCCCGGGCCGCGCGGGCTGTTCACTCCGGAGCCTAACGAGGGGCGCAAGCCCCTGCTCTGCCCGGCCGATCGGGAACGGGGGGCGCTACCCACGCTGCCTCCCACGCGCAGGCTGAGCCTGCCCCAGGGCAGCGTCTGCTCCCAGCCCCACCAGGGCACCCAACTCCTGGGTTTCCTTCCTCCCTCCCTGCCCGCCCCCGGGAGCTGGGACAGGCCCCTCGGTTTATTGCTCTCACTCATTCCCCATGGGATGCTTGTTCTCCCGCCCTGCTAGGAGGGACTGAGGCTGATCCTGAGCTCCCATCTGGTCCCTGTGCTTGTTTGTTCTGGTTTTAGGGGGATCATGACTTGCATTCCCAGTCAACACCATCAGCTGACTCAAAGGACACCAGGCCCTCTGCCAGCCAGAAACAGGAACAGGGCAGTCTGCGGCTTGGCACTGCCCTTTGTACCATGAGCCCCATGGCTCTACCAATTTTGCTGCCCCAAGCAGTCACCACGGAATTGCTGCCGTGCCCGCAAGAGCAGCAGAGCTGCCGAATTACCGTTGCGGGACGTGGACGACCGCCCCATTCTGGATGCCGCCCCAAGCATCTGCTTGGAAAGCTCGTGCCTGGAGCCGGCCCTGGGCCCTGCCTGTGCACTGTGGGGTGCCCAAAACATGATGCGCAGCCCCCCAGCCATGGGCGGCAGAGGGCCGGGCTATGAGCTTCCATGGGTGGCTCTAACACAGATCAGGCAGGGCCATGCACAGGATCATAGAGCAGGACAGGTCTCACTGTGATGCTCTTACAACAACACCAAAGCTCCCCTTGACAATGGGATGGGGCCCCCGTGCAGCCCACAACGCTAAGCACTCCAGACACCTGGTCCTGATCCAAATGCAGGTGCAGCAACATAGGTTGCCGGTGGTGCTGCATCTTGATTCAAGCAGTCTACAGAACAAGGTGGTGCTTTAGAGCAGGGTTTCTCCACCCGTGTGTCGGGACCCAGAATTGGGTGGCCAGAACGTTTCAAAGGGTCATGTGGCATCTCCTGCAGCTCCTGTCCCAAAGGGCAGGCTGGGCTTGCCCGTCTCCTCCAGGCACTGCAACCTCTGGGGTCCCAGCACCACGCACATTTGGCCCCGCTGTCATGATGATGGGAGCCCAGGTAGCCCAAATTTGACTGAGTGGCCCTGCAACCCCATGAGCCAGGTCACAGCTCCACTCACACAAATTTGGTCCAGTCAGGGGGGTGGGGCTGAGCAGCGTTGCAACCCTAGAGGCTGCACAGCTTGGAGTGGAGAGCTAAACCCAGCCATCCTCACAGCACAGGAGCCGTCACTGTGAGGTGAGCGCCAGCAGGACCCGACCCTCGCCGAGGGGTAGGATCCAACCAAAACCGCCCCTGGGCCTCCACCCCTCAGCTATTTACTGGATTGTGACTGGCATAAACATTTACGGATGGGTCCTGAGCCCAAAAAGGTTGAGAACCACTGCTTTAGAGCTCAGGATGGAGTAGTGCATTCTGGGAATGACAGGCTCCAGGCAGCTCTTTGATGCAAAGAGATACAGGTGCTGACACGTTGGCCCAGTGTGCTTCTTGACCGGGAAGAGTTACCCGGCATGGCCCGCTAGTGGTTAATGAATAATTGATGAATTTCTGTCTGTGATTAGTTCACGACTTTCTAGCCGTTATTCCTTACTACATAGGCATCCTGTGCACAATCTGCTCCTGGTCAGGGCCCCCGCCCTTCTCTGTGACGACTGCTTTTCAGTCAGACCTTGTGCCTCTTTTTTGTATCCATTGTCCTATTCGGCCCTGATCCTGCATGTGCTTCATTTTCCCATGAGTGAGTAGTCCCGTAGGCATCTGCGGGATCAGGGCCTTAGATTGTAAGATCCTTGGGGCAGGGCCTCTCTTTTTGTGCCATGTTTGTACAGCACCCAGAACAATGGAATTCTCATCTACAATGGCCCCTCACTAGGAGCTAGTGCGAACCGATGATTTGCTGTATCATTTCTATGAGCGATCTTTGGGCTGCTGCTCATTGGTGAGCTGGTTCCCAAGACCATTCTGCAGACGACGGCCAAGCTGTTTTTGTTGGACGGGTGCTTTGTTTCTCTTTCCTGATTGGTTGAGCATCACTCTTAGGAACCATTTACTGATGCAAAAGCTTGTGATTACACATTGGAAACTGGCTCGTTGCAAATATCCAGAAATAGTTAAAAATTCACAGTTTCCAAGACGTTTCTTGGCTAGAATCATCCCAAAAAGTGATCCCAAAGAGGGAATGAAGCATTTGGACAAACATTAGTGGGAAATAATAATAATGTCCTGCTCTTCTATAGCATCAGTATCTCACAGCACTTCACAATCTTTCATGTATATGTTCTCACACACCCCTGTGGGGCAGGACTCTTGTCCCCATTGTACAGATGGAGAACTGCAGCACAGATAGCTAAGTGACTCGCCTGTGGTCACACAGGAAGTCTCTGGCGGAGCATGGAATTGAATCCAAGTCATAGGCTAGTGCCCCAACCACTGGACCGTCCTTCCTGGATGTGCTTAATTTGCAAGCCGGTTTGCAATTCCTTTCAATCTGCTGCATCAGTCAGCGCACTGAATTCTCCTTCTACCCCTGAGCCTCCACGTTGTGACTAGTATAAGAGAGGGCAGCTAAGGTTTCTGGCCCTGATCCTGTAACTGGATCCTGTCTATAGGGCTCACGACACCTGTAGAGAGGATCAGTTGATGCAAAAAAGGGCATATTCCTTAACACTGTGGCATCCCTTCTCCGTAGACAGAGCCGCCAGGCAGAATGAACTGGAGAACTCAGTGTGAGCAATGTTCTGCAATGGCTGCTTTACGCCTTGTCTCCTGCTGTCCCAGTGGTACCGCTGCCATCAGATTGGTGTAACCCCTGTCACAATATCAGTTTGAATTGTACTGAAATACCATATAGACAGGTTTAAGAGGTGGCTGGCATTATACTCTGGGAGGTGAACCTCAAACTCCTTTGTATAACCCTCCACCTATTATAATAAGATCCTGCTGCTTGACTAATAAGTTACTTTCATTACTTTCATTTCATAAGTTTGGTTACTTTCATTGCTGCTTCGTCCTCTGGGTGACACAGAGACCATCTGTTAATGTCTGACAAGAACGTACATTGCAAGTGGTTAGCCTTTGTCCTGACCTCCCCAACCAAACACCCCCAAAACTGCCCCCCTGAAAAGCCGAATTTGTGGCAATCAGTGGCCCAGCTGCTGGGCTCTGCCGGTTATGTTGCAATATTAGCTGTTTTATAGCTTTGATAAGGCACAAAGATAAAGTCAAAAACCTGCTCTGACCACCTCCCATGCTGAAAGATGGTTTGGATGGCAAATGAGCTCTTTGCAATCTCCATTTCGCAGAGCTCTGTGTTCTCCTCTGCACTGACAACCAGGGGGCCTTTTTCTGAATGGATCAAGTTCCTTGCTGAGGGGGAAAGTCTTTCCAGACCATGGGCTTGTTTATAGACGCCACTTTTGTGTCTAATTATCTTTAATATGTTTGTAAAGCTCAAGACAGGCTGACCTGCGGTGCCAGAACCTGCCCAGGGAGTGGATTTTCTCCCCACTTCCCGTTTATGCTGTCTCCAGGTTGGCTTATTTCAAGGGTGTTTTGTGGAAGAGGCCAATCTGTGTTAATTACAATATTTAGCGATCACCCCAGAGGGGTCAGGGCTTTGCAGGGCGCAGGTTGCAAATAACATGTAGCCAGATATTTATAATTAAACCATTCGTCAGTTTTAGCTTGGCTTGGCACCAACACCCACTCTGCCTATATGACACACACAGGGCTGTGCCTCCTTTTCAGAAGTACCATCAGCCTTGTTTTAAAGAGGCAATCCCCGTTTTGTGTGGAGGATTTGGTGCTTCAGTCAAACCCAGCTCTGTGAGTCATGGTGGACAGGAGAATTACAGCTTGTGTTTTCAAAGGGAGCAGTGTTTACAGAGCCTTTCCCAGCTCCTTTTCAATCTGGTGGGTTGAAATGAAGCTTGCCAGGGATTTGCCATACCCTGGGGGCAGAGGACAGGCCCTTTTCCCTCTGTCTCAGCAGCTCTGGTCCTGGTAAGTTTTAAAGCCACTCCTACCTGCAGGCTGTTGGGGGTCTTACTCCCTCAAATCAGCCTCAGCTAAGAGGACTGAGGACAGCCCTGCCCCATCCACCACCACAGGACCCCGTGCAAGGGTCACAGAGAGCGCTGCCTGGTGATGTGGAGGAGGGGCTGCTCGGCACTGCCCACCCTCCCAGCAGCTCGGAGGAGCAGAGCAGGCCACGGAGGCTGGGCCAGCACAGCCCCAGCTGTGGGAGGCTGGGGGGTGTGACCAACCCCACTCCAGCCCCCCTTACAGAGCAGGGCCCAGAGCCAGGCCCTGACTCACGGAGTGTGGGCTGGAGCAGTGAGGTCAGATGGCTGCTCGGCCAGTGAGCGGGGGCGAGATCCTGGTTTCCCACCCTTGTGGCCTGCCAGACAGTGGCTTTGGCAGGCAAGGTGCTGTGGTCAATCTGGAGGCCAACATGACGCCCAGCTGCCGCCCCCCCCTTCCCTCTCCTGGCAAGTCACTGCCTTGGGAGCACCCATCTCTGACCATCCACATCTCCCCCCTACAGGCTCCATGCAACCTGGGAGGACCCCTGGTCCGGGCAGTGCCAACATCCACAGCAACAGCCTGTCCCAGCTCAGAGCACCCACTGATCTCAGCCCCCCGCCCCACTGAGGGGCAGCCAGGACTCGCTCACCTGGGGCAGGGGGTCCTGAGAGAAGCACATGTGGGGGGAGGGAAGGCTGTTTTGTGCATCAGGAATATTATTAA